AACAACACCCAGTTGTAAATTTCCTTCCTTCTCCAGCATAGTTATGATTTTCGGTAAAATTCTGAATCTATGTAAACGCAGGAAATGCTCAATATAAGTCATATTCACCTAGGTTCGGGCACTGTTCTCTCGATTCCCAGTCAGTTGATGAATCCAACCCTGCGGGAAGCTGTCCATCCTGTGATGCATTTTCCTGTCCACCGAATCCGTGGCCGTCCGACGTCCCGCTGCTGAGTGTCTCCCGCAATCAAATTCTAATCGCGGATTGGCAAAGCCAGGATCAAATCTTCCATGATTGCCTGGCCTGGCCGAGAATGACAATTGCAAGCAAACCAAGGCTCGATGGAGGCGTTACGGGCGTGAGTGGGTGAGAGGGAGGACCAGTGGAGGCGTTACGGGAGTGAGTGGGTGAGAGGGAGGTCCGGTGGAGGCGTTACGGGCGTGAGTGGGTGAGAGGGAGGTCCGGTGGAGGCGTTACGGACATGAGTGGGTGAGAGGGAGGTCCGGTGGAGGCGTTATACGGACATGAGTGGGTGAGAGGGAGATCCGATGGAGGCGTTACGGACATGAGTGGGTGAGAGGGAGAACCGGTGGAGGCGTTATACGAACATGAGTGGGTGAAAGAGAGAGATCCGGTGGAGGCGTTACGGACATGAGTGGGTGAGAGAGAGGTCCGGTGGAGGCGTTACGGGAGTGAGTGGGTGAGAGGGAGGTCCGGTGGAGGCGTTACGAGAGTGAGTGGGTGAGAGCGAGGTCCGGTGGAGGTATTACGGACGTGAGTGGGTGAAAGGGAGGTCCGATGGAGGCGTTACGGACATGAGTGGGTGAGAGGGAGGTCCTGTGGAGGCGTTACGGATGTGAGTGGGTGAGAGGGAGGTCCGGTGGCGGCGATACGGATGTGAGTGGGTGAGAGGGAGGTCCGGTGGAGGCGTTACGGACGTGAATGGGTGAGAGGGAGGCTCGGTGGGGGTGCTACCGACTTGAGTGGGTGAGAGAGTCAATTTAGCCCTCTTCGAATATGCTTTTTTAGCTATATTTTTTGTGTCTATGATGCAGTTCATGAAATGCAACTCCAGAAGCGAACTCGATTTGAATTTACTATTTAGAGTTAAGGAGAAATAAACACAGTTTCGAATAAACACACTTTCTAAAAATTTCAAAAACTCTTCATACTTAAATTTTTGATTGCTCATAATTTCTGGTGCATGAGTTCGAAATTTATTTTCTTTGTTCATGTCTCGTAAATGTTCATGTCATTTATTGCTCATGTCTCGTAAAGTGACTGCTACCGCGAGCATAGAAGTAAACAACCAATATTATTTTACCTTTATATTTCTCTTGTTTCCGTTGTTGCAGTCCCAGGCCACGTCGGAGTGCTCCATTTACTCAGATGAATTTAATTGTTACATTATCACTAATATATTTTACGTATTAGGATTTGAATTTCTACGTGCTCATCATGAATGAATATTAAAATGAAGACTGTACAGGGATGGTACATTATTTTTCAGTCAGAACATGCATTTAAACTTTAGCTTATTTATTCAGCGAAAGACCCAGCACAATTGTAATAAATTGTTTGGAGGGAAATAAGGAGCTTGTCTGGCTTGAAGATTATTGTTGCGCGACTAAGAGAACAGATGATTTAGTTATTGAGGCTCAATGGTGTACAAAGAGGGCGGCGGTTCGCGTAAAGATATTTGAAGATGAAAATTTTGCCACTGACGCATTCAACGTTAATTTAAATAAATTTTGCTCTCAATGCATTCTTCTAAGGCGTAATTAATTGATATGCTATCAGTGAAAATCAGGCTATTAATGGAAATAACATTTATGATATTAGTCGGAATTATGATATTATGATAATTTAATTTAGATAATTCATCTGGCAATATTGTGTGCATTAATTTCCAAGTGCAGAAGAAGATTTTTTCTTAGATCGCAAAACTGGACAATGTTCTCCTGGTGCGCAATAGTGAAGGATTGGAATATTTTTTTTTCTAGATCGAAATAGAGCAGAATTTTTTACTAGATAATAGTGGAAAGTTTTTTCATAGTGCGCACTAGTGGAAGATTTCTTCGTCGTACGCAATAGTGCAATATTTTTCCTATACATTGCAATATTGTTGAAGATACGCTTCAAATGAGCGCGCTGATGTGCTCTCGTTTGAAGCCGCGCAACGCATTACAAGATGCCACGCTGGACCTCGCCTCATCAGAGGTGTGTCAAGTTGACTCAATTATTAGGAGGGCGCGACATTAGCGACCCTGATGACCTGACAAGCTCGTGATTGCGTCTCCACTCCAACGCGTGACCTGCATCACTCGAGGCCTGCACTCAAGCGTCCGTTCATAACCGGCATACATAATAATCCTGTTTTGAGGCTAGGAAATCTTCCGACATCGATGAAAGTTGAAGAATTTCTGACATGATGTTGAGAGTAAAGTTTACAATCACTGCTCTGCTGAGTTTTAATTATTATTTTAATTGATATTCAAAGTTATCTCGTATTTAGTGCTACAATATTTCAACCAGAAGTTAAGCAAATGACCAATTTATCAATTCTCTACTGAATTCAAATGCATATTGCACTGGATTTTTCTCTGAACTAATATAGAAACTTGAATAATACTCGCGCTTGGTAGGAAAATTTACAGAATATGATATTAATGTCAATGTCAGCAATATGATATTAATGACAATGGCAACAATATGATATTAATGACAATGGCAACAATATGATATTAATGACAATGGCAACAATATGATATTAATGACAATGGCAGCAATATGATATTAACTACAATGCCAGCAATACGTACGATATTAATGACAATGGCAGCACTATATGATATTAATGACAATGCCAACAATATGATATTGATGACAATGGCAGCCATCTAAATTCTATATTGGCGTTCAAGAGGAAATTAGTCTTGCGGCGCGTCTAAGGGAAGTGATTGGATGGCCATCAGCCTTTCTCTACATTGCAGAAATCTGCAACGATGCATCACAGTCTACGGCTTCTAGCAAACTCAATCTCGATACGGACAAATTTGAGCATCGTTCTTCAGTGAAGCAACAATCGGGCCTAACAAAGCTGGTCTGAGGAGTTGCCGTGGTCTCAATATCGGTCATGAATATCAGAGCGCCTTTCATGACGAGGGTCTTGAAGGCAGTCTCTGACAGAGACCCAATCAATCAAAGCCTCATATTAATTACCCACACCAAACTGGCTTCCTCGGAACTTCCGAAGGATTTCCCTGTGAACGACGGCCATCAAGGTTTACCAAGCTATAGCTTCGGTGAACTCTCACAAATGGCAACATAGGTGTCGCTAGAGTGCCGTTAGTTGAAACTTGTTACAAGCGCCCAGATTTCAACGCACCACAAATTCTCTTCGAAGTGTTGCAAGTGGCAAAATGGAAGGTGGATAATTCGATATAATGACCTGTCCATTGTTATATGGTGAACAAGCATGGCAGACTACAGATTCCTCGATTTTTGTGGAGGGCAAAAAATGGGGGCTGGTCAACTGGTTTGATAAACAACGAAGTCGAATATAACTATTTCCATGATTTTTTAATTGCTGAGAAGTAGAAAACTGTTTTCTATCAGTAATTCACAGTCACCATATTTTACAATTATTCTGCTGTTCATAGATCGGCAAGTGGTAATAATTTCTAACTGATTATTTATCAAATTAAACTTTTAAATTGTTGGCGGAATGATGAATTGAAAAGATGAATATAGTACAATCATTTACTAAATAATATTGTTATGAATGTTAAAACATTCTTTTAACATAATAAAAAAGTTTTGTCACTCAAGGAGAAATAAATCAATTGTTTTAAATAGAAATTGTAATTTAAAAATAGGAATATACAAAGACCAAAATTTATTAACTAGAAATAATGGAATCGCTTTTTCATCAGCCACGAACCAAAGTTAAATTACTTGGAAATAAAGTTTGGCCGATAAAACCAAACAGTAAAAACCTATAAAGCAGTCATACGAATGATTCAATAGTTTACACCGTACAATTTACAGCAACGCTACCAATTTGTGGCAACGTCATTAAATTGCATCTCTTCGTAGTCGTAAAATTAACTTGTAAACTACACTGCAGAAAAGAAAACGTTAATTAGTAATACGAAAACGTAAAATTTTTCATCGTGTCGGCTCACTAACAAAATTCACTACTGACATCAGGTGCAACTTTCCACAAAATTGATAGGTCAAACTTTTCAGTTAAATGAAAATTCTTAATTGTTTTTGATATCGTTTCGTTGAAAATTGAATTACTTGTAAAAATGTGGAAATCCAATGAATAATTATCGCGAAATTGAAATTTCTAACCTAGGGACAGAGATGTCTCTTCTTCAAGATAAACTTCTAACTTTTTAGAAGTAGCTAAGTTTGACTTCGCAGTATCTCTGACTCAAAAGTTATCCTCTCAAGTTCATGGAACAAAGTCATTATATCAACCACTGATGTGAACTTCAAATCATACATATATATAGATTTTTCACGTTAGTTATTGCCGTTGGGAGAATGTAAATCTTATATTTTGCGTTTATTAATCTAATTCCTGACGGTTGGCACTCTCGATGGCTGTTCTGCCGCAAACAATCTCAATGCGAGCAATAATAAAGCTTTTTTTGTAACAACTGGACCATTTTTATGAAGCGTAACTCGGGATGGTTGATATTCAGCATCTCTGTTATCTTCATCTCCACCGGTATAGGAATTCAAGAAGTTAAAAATAAATGTTTTATTAACATTTTGGAGAAGTCGTTGTTTATAAAATCAAAGTTAGTATGTACAAGACATCAAGGAGATAGAACAATCAGTATTATCTTGAACAATCCAATATCTTGCCTACCTATTGCAGCAACGGCTCGAGCCAAGATCTTCATTTCTGTATAATTATTTTTTATATCTCTGTACAATAACTCTATCATTAAAAGAAAAAATACTAACGGCCATATATACATTTAATACATATATAATTATAATCATTCGATGAAAAAATCTATTTCCTGTACAGAGGAGTAAGATAACTAGACATTAATTTATAGATGCAAGATATTAGAGATATGTTTTGATTGTACAGTTCAGAAATGCAGTATGGGTCTTCGACGAACCTGTTTTTTGGGGCGGGATATGTAACAGCGGAATTAAGATAAAGATTTATTTTTTTAAATTAAAAACTCTCGAAAGATTTCAATAGAAAATTTTTACTGTCGTTTCAGCTACAAATTCTCCAGAAGCCAAATTTCGCATCTGAACTTGTATTTGTAAACAATTATTTTATATTTAATTAGTGACCTATTCAAACAATGGCAAGATCTTAGAAGAAATTTTTCCCATCGTCTTTGTAAATGCGCAATAAATGAGCGATTTAGGCACATAATGAAAAGAAAAATATTTTTTATTGCATCCAACACTTACAATACACACAATAATTCACGGCTATAATCGTTGATATTTATTCATATTAATCATATATTAGTAAATCATCTTTCCGTTTTGTAAAACTTGAACTCGTTAAAACCTGAATAAAAAAATGAATAGGAGGATGTCCACAAACTCGACCACGCTGAATTGCAGATTGATCGGCCAAAGACTGCAAAAACATCGCCTGTTTCGAGGGATCTTAACAAGCTCTTGAATATGATATTCGCTTTTGAACAAATATTAGGATGTAACGTAACTTTTTTCAGTGTTTAACCATAAAACAAAAACATGTAATATAAACTGATACATTTTAAACGATCTCTGGTTGAAAGAATATCTATTTCTGTTAAATGTTTTCAAAAGGAATATATTTTTTTCGTTTTGTCATTTCGGGGCCACAATTTACCGTTCATTGATTCTCACCACTCGTTTTTCACACGACGCTCTCGTTCTGACGAACTGACAAGGGAATTACCGTGCAAGTCCTCTGGTCACTATCACTCTCAGGAATGGCAGAATAAATGTTTTTTCGGTCTTCGCGTGCCGAGTAAACATAAAGATTTTTATTGGCAGTTTCTCCGCGGTCTTTGGAACTGTCCAGAACGTAATTCAGCTCAGGGTCACGGTCCTTGTCAATCAGGTTGTCACTTTCAGAGCTCCTAAAGTCCGTTGAAAGGAGGTGGTCGAAGCAACCAGGCTTTGCATCCCCAAAACTTGCGGAATATTCAGCGCCGTTTGATCGCAGTACGTCAAGGCCTATCAGAAGATCCCGTTTTTCGGGAACAGAGCCCACAATTTGGTGATCTGGACTTACAACATCGCGGGAAACATTCAAGTAAGAAGGGTTGTTCGGTGAGGGTCCGACGAAGGGGTTCGGTGAGCCCAAAAGGGATCTTCGGCGCTGCTTCTTCAAAAGCTTGAGTTGCTCCTGCTTCTCCTGTAGGAGGAGTTGTTGCTGTTTGATGAACATCATTTTGTCGGAAATTCCAGCTTCCGCAAACTGTGCATGGTGAACACTTGGATTCAATTCAGCCGATTCCAGAGTTTCCTGAGACGGCGTCAATTTCTCAAGAGATCCTCTAAACATTGTCGACCATTGCGGAACATGTCGTTGCGGAGCAGGTTTCGGTAAGGAATCGTATTGGCCCGGTGTCGATTGCTGGTTGATCTTGAATGTGGTGTTGGGTGAGTCACCGGTTTTCCTTGGTAGATCAAAACCTTGTGGTCCCGGCCAGTCCTGGTAGGATTGAGTAGATGAAGGTAGTTGGGTCTCTAGTGCGCCTGGTGGCTGCAGTGTTTCCGTGTTACATGGCTGCACAAAAACAGGAAAAGAAAATCTTTAAATTGCCCAATCAAAATTTGAAGATTTTTCATTGTCATCTTATTTAATTAGATTGAAAAATATTGAAACTAAAATTAGCTGTACAGATCTAATTCTGTTTGACTTCCACAATTTTTCCTGATGAAATGATCATGAAATTATCATTATCCCTATATGCTTCAAGACCATATGTTTTATGTTCATAAACTAAACTGTTCTAATGTAGAGGACCTATCACCTGTGTGAATTTGTGATAAGATATAAATGACGGATATGTTGACTCAAATGTATGATACGTTTATAGAAATGATTGGCAAGTTCACATAAATGATTGGTACGCTCATATATGTGATTGGCAGAAAAAAAGGACTGTTAAGTTGCTATAAGTGATTGGTACAGTTAGCAAGTTAAGTTGGAACTCACGTAATCGAGTTATTTACAAATAAAAACGAAGCTGTAATAAAAATTTTGCCGACTGATAAATACTTAAGTATTTTGGTGAAAGAAAACAATCAAGCTAAAATTACTGGACCCTGAATAAATATTCATTGGATATGATTATTATTTATGACTATGAGCACAATTTAAACAATAGAAGCAGCATAGCTCGACATTTGTTTTCGGTACATCATGGTTTTTAAAATAATGGACCAGTTTATGTCAAAAATTTTAATGCGTTCAAATGGAAAAGTTCAGAGCCCGAAATTGATCTATTTAATATTCAATGCAATCTTTAACTTCTTGTAATTTAAAGTCTTAAAGATAAACAGCCGAGCGTGAAAATGTTTAATATTAAATATTATAGAATAATATTTAATATATTTATACAAATAGATTTTATTAATACATTATTAAATAATATCTTATTATATTTAATATTATAGAAATTTCGATCGCACCATAATTTCTCGTCCTGTACGTTGAATATCATCACAAATGAATATGGTGTCAAGGGTTCGATGTGATCGCGGCGCGACTGCGTGCGCTGCCAGCCGATAGCGCCCATAATAACTCCTGGGATCCTGTAATTATCTCGAGATCGGCTGCTCTATCACGCTAATATACTGCAGTTGTTCTAACGTTAAGATTGTGTCCGTTATAATTAGACCGGGTGATTGGTTACTAAAGCCTTACTATATCAACGAAGTTCTTGGGTGAACACAAATTATTATCACTCCCGTAACTTATAAAGCTCATTAAGGTTGAACCAAGGCAATGTAAGCGGCTGAAAAATTTTCTTGACTTTGGAAGTGTTTTATGAGAAGTTCTTGTTAAGTGCGAGGCAGCGAGTGATCAATGTCGCCGTAATGACTTCCCATCACCGCTTTAATGTTGCAGCTGCGCATACTACATGGGGAATGGGGCGTGGTGCAGGGGTGTGGTGATTGGGGAGTGTGGGGAGGGTTGGGGAGTGTGAGGAGGGTTGGGGAGTGTGGTGAGGATGGGGAGATTGGGGAGTGTGGTGAGGGTTGGGGAGTGTGGTGAGGGCTGGGGAGTGTGGTGAGGGTTGGGGAGTGTGGTGAGGGTTGGGGAGTGTGGTGAGGGTTGGGGAGTGTGGTGAAGCTTGGGGAGTGTGGTGAGGGTTAGGGAGTGTGGTGAGGGTTGGGGAGTGTGGTGAGGATTGGGGAGTGTGGCGAGGGTTGGGGAGTGTGGTGAGGATTGGGGAGTATGGTGAGGGTTGGGGAGTGTGGTGCGGGTTGGGGAGTGTGGTGAGGGTTGGGGAGTGTGGTGAGGATTGGGGAGTGTGGCGAGGGTTGGGGAGTGTGGTGCGGGTTGGGGAGTGTGGTGAGGATTGGGGAGTGTGGTGATGTATTGGACGTATTAAGACGTGCAAGAAGTGTTTTGATACGTGGGGAGTGTAATGATGCTTATAGTGGGGAGTGGGGAAAGCTTTTATAGTCACTGGGCTGTGAATAAAACTCATAGTTTTTCAAAGGAAGATTACGTGCTTTGGTACGTGAATATAAAATCACGCTGCCGAGCATATCGTTCTGAAGCTCGTCTGAAATTCAGCAGTTTTTTTAAAAATTTCACATCGTCAACATAGTGTTCTTTACTATTATAACCAATACATGGTGGACAAAGTTGATGCAAAAGCACATGAAAAGAGATATAAACTAAATAAATGAAATATATTTGAGGTAGTTTTCAAAAGAATCGCTATATGACAACTTTCTTCATAACTGTTAAATGGAGCAAGAGGCTTCAAGTGGCCAGAGGAAGTCTTCCAAAGTCCAAATATCCTTTCAGAAGAATATTACTAGGCTTACAGGTACCTACTAAGTAAGCAAGGTGCTTCAAATTCTTGTACCTTATTCACGATAAACGAGAATTGGAGTCACAAAAGAGCTTTCAAACCTTAAGGAAGTTGAGAGGAAGCTTTCAGCCGAGCTTACCTTAGCCAAACCTGTTCTCAAAACTGCCCTATGGATTAAATTCAAATGGGTTCTGAAACATGCATATGATGCAAAATTATGTATATATTGCAAAATGTTATTCAATTGTGCTCCGGTACAATTATTTGCATTAGCTGTCCAAGGGTCATTAAATGACAAGCGTTAGACACTCGGCAAAAAGAAGCATTAACGTAAACAGTTCATGCCAGAACATGTTCAATGGGTCAATGTAGGATCCACATCTCTTATCTAAAAACCACATTCATGCGAATAATTGAATTTTATTCATGACACTATTTCCAGATTAAATAATAATATTTGCATAAACGCATATATATTATCAGTTGTTAGTTTTCTCATGAACAACATAAAGCTTTCGTGATTCAATAGCTACATTTAAGGTAGCACGTTATTGGGTCCAACGCATAGCGTTCGAGCGCACTTAATTTAAGTGCGGATTGACATGAACACTTATTCCTCGATTAAGATAAAGATATACTCCGTTACTGCAGCGTAAGGGATTGTCTGTAAATTTGCTATGCAATAAAAGTTTTCAATTCAGAGGATTTGGATAGTCAGACATGGCAGTTGCGCAGGTAAAACTTGCCGTGCGAATGTTTAAAGAATTAGAGATCTGGTCAGGGATTAAAAAGTGACGTAAAGCATCCAAAATGATGAGTGACATCGCAAGTACCTTTAACCTTCCACTGATCGATGAATATCGCAATGCTGATTAGAGTAAATTTTTGAAAATTAGAACCAATATGCCCGGGGCATAAATACTTAGCAGTTCAGAATGCATAGAAAATGAAAGTATGCGGTCCGTGTTTCTAGTGTCACTGATTTATGTCAATAATTAATATATTATTTATCTAATTATCCGAATTTATTTTTAGTCCAGAGCCAGGTATTCTTTTTAATCAGAGTGCATAATGAGAGGCTCGGATTTCATCATTGAATGTTCAGACGAGAACTTTTCAGTCTAGTTTTAATATACGGCCAATAATGACCATGCAATGACACATGTGAATTGTAAAAGAAAAATTCGGAGAAATGGTACGGAACATATAAAAGATTTTCTAGGAATTGTGAGACCTGAAACCATTTGAGTGCAGTCTAGTTGCTCCAACTTAAGATTTATAGTCCCGAGTTAAAGTGCGTCCAATGCTCATTGTTTAATGAGATGAACGATTAGTAATGAAAATTATTAGTGCATGTGAACGTGAAAGAAGCATTAATAATAGAAGCTAATGATTGCTTCTTGTACTGGCAACATGCGACATACAGACGAGCAATACTAATAGCTTCATGTGTTGGCAACATTCAAACGAGCATAATGTTGATAGCTTTATGTGTTGTCAACATTCAGTCTAGTATTGATGATAGTTTAATGTGTTGACAGGCAACATGCAACATTCAAAAGAGCAAAATTGTGTGCAATAAAGAACGTACATCGGCCATCGAAAACTAAAAGTTTATCAACTGAAATGCCACAATAAATAAAAACGTAAAATGAATCTACGAAAACCTTTTTCACTTTTTTATTCGATATGAAGACTAAATTTATTGATACTAACAAAAATCGGGAAAAGTGGGCGGAAAAATTTTTGTGTTACATTTCGCTTTTTCGGTGATGAATCTCGACGAGCCTCGCTAAAATATTTCAAAGCATAAATATTAATAACAAAGCTCTCGATTCATCGATGAATGTACAAATAAAACTTTTTCAGTGTACTTGGTTAGGATTTATGGGAACAAATGCCAATAAACTGCAAACAATTCTGAAGTTCATGTTTGTTTGTTGCGGGATGCTTGACTTAGCTCGTGTAATGAATTAATGGGAAATACTTGAGAACATTGAGCATTAATAATCCTTATTTCCAAGTTAACGAGAGTGGTAGGAAATAAATGAATTTCATCGCTATGTCTAGAAAAGGATTGAATCAGCTTCGTGGAAATACAGGTAAAGAAAATTTTTTTTTCGTTGTAATTAAAGTTGCTAGCTACACGGTATTAATTACTTTCTTGGTTATTATACGATGAAGATTTGGGAGAACATATTCCTCAACATGAATGATGTTTAATGAATTTAATGATTTAATTTCTAGATATCTGATCTACAAATAGCAAAATGATAAATGAATGCTCTCACCTGCGTTAAAGCGCGCCTCAGTCTGAGCATCGTATGTCAGCCGTTCAAATGAAAAAGAACATCAAATGTCTCTTTGCTGCATACGTTTATTGTGATCAAGTCTTTTAAAGGCAAGACTAACACACTAGTGTTTGTCGTAAACACTAGAAAATTACCAAGTTAAGAGTTTTCAACATTTAATGTTTCATTTAGTTATGTACAGATGCAAATTTAGCCATCAGAATGTTATGTTCATTGGTTCATTGTAAGTTCCTAATAACAATTCGATATACAAAATTTTCTATGAGGTCAGCTATGTAATTGAGTAATCATTTGAAATTGCGATTGAACGCCTTATTTGCCATCGAGGCCAGCATAATAAGTGAATTGTCAATTGATTTGAATGAGTAAATTGATCACATTCTAAATAACTGCCGTCAAGAGACTCAGTTACGTAAACTACAAAGCCTTTTGTGATATTTAAATGAAATTTAGAAGAAAATAAGGCCTGTTTCTAATGCGTAAGAAAAAATATATATTGTATTCCCTTGTCCCTACAGGCTAAATAGAAGTTTTAACACAACCTGATGGCCGTCGGCTGAACCAAAAACAACTTCTACAGGTGCAGTAATGATATTCAGTAGCAGTGCACACAATTACACAATTTGCATAAACAATATGACATCACACAGAGCATTTGAAAGTATTTTCTTAAGTCTACTAGCGCCACGTTCCTTTAGAGGGCATTTATTTACACATTTGTCTATGTGTATTGTTTTATCCCCGTTTATTTCTCGCTCCATTCTAAGTGCAATAAAACAAGGAACATTTAAATACGTTAACAAGCCATGGACATTATGGTAGATACCCCTTAAGGAACGTGCCCCTAATTTGCTTGAAATTAGAAGAAGATGAAAGAGTGCACAATACCCATAATATTTGAAATAATGTTGATTTATGCAGTTTCCGAATAAATGTTGAGACGGTATATATTGGTTTTAGTTAAAATTGCTGAAAATATCACTTCTTATTTTCGGTGCCTAGATGACAAAATCTTTCAAGCAGACTACTCGAAAATTTCTGCGACGCTATAGATTACGAACTGACAAATTGGCCGTCTATTCATTTATAAATTGTAGTATGCTCAAAGAATTCATATTCGTTTGAAAAGATTTGTGGGAAATGATTAATCCGAATTAAAATAAATTGTTAAAACAATGGTTTTGCAAATTGCAAAGCCTTGCGACGTTCACAGCAAATCCCAAAGCCAAGCACTCCGGCTCGTTTCGAGAGGATTTTTCTTGTGCAATTTGGAGCGAGGCTCTTTGTTAAAGCGGAGGCTATTTTTACGAGCTGTCTGTGCAGGCTTGACTGAAATACTGCACTAATTTTAACCGTCTCATTTTCTATGATGGCGGTCATGCTGAGCAAGGCAACATCCTTGACTTTTTCTTATTACGTTGAGCCTATGGAAAAATTGCGTCTTGTCTTTTCGGAACATGCGGTATTTCTTCCAAGTATGTAACATGGAATGTTGTACTATTTGCTCAATGAAAGTTGCAGGGCTGGTGAGACCTCAATATATGAGTCAAATGCTACGGAAGATACGAATAAAAAAAAAAGTAAAGAGGTACATTTTTGAATAAAGAGGAGTGGTAAAAGTTTTACTTTTTAAAGTCTTTTTAAGTTCACACTGAGGCTCACAGCCATTTAAAACTTATGTCCCATCATAAATTCACTGTCGTAATTCATCAACGAACCCCCCCGCTCAAAGTGTGAAATATCGCTATCGGAATTTAAGTCCCATGCGTAGTTTCAGTAGAAAAGTTTCCCCAATAAATGCCCATAAGAGAAAAGTTAATAAGGTGCACCATAAATCGGTTGCAGTGGCAGCTGCCTCGCCTAAGATTCTTGAAGAGGTTGTAAATTGTAGCTGCCGGCCCCCGACTTACGGTGGACGGTTTCAGTGGCTACTCACTGCCAGGGCCGTCATACTTCAGCCCGTGCTATTCATTAGGGCTGTGTGTGCATGATTATTATTATGGTTTGTGATTAACAATTCGCCCAAGGCCCACCTGCCTATTAAAAAAAATTCGCACAATACTCTTGCGTATGGAGGTGTGTGCATGATTATTCTTCATATAGCTACGCGCGTATAGCTGTTGCGTATGGTTGTGTCTGCATGATTATACTTCACAGTAATACGCGTATAGCTCTTGTGTATGGTAGTGTGAGTATGATTATTCTCAATAACTATAGTAAATAGCTATGTGAAGGATGCATGGAGAAGAAAATTAAAATATTATTTGGACGCTGTCCTAAGAGGATGTGATTGTGACATGTTACACTGAAATTTCCCTTGAGCCTATCTGGAAGGAGATGTGAGATATTATATATGATATTTAAAATGAATTTTTGCCTAACAGAATATATTTTCCAGATATTTTGCGGAAGTATTTTTCTGGTTAAGCCTAACGGAGATGATACGTGAGATTTTACCCTGAAATATTGCTAGAAGTTTTCCGGTAGGGCGGACATACAAGAATATATCGGGATATATTAGAACGCACATACGAAAATTTATGGTGAAATATAAAAAAATATAAGAATTTGTTGCGAAATATTACAACGAACATACGAGAATTTATTATAAATATTAAAAACCCGGCAGCCGCCCACCTGCCTATGAAGACTCCGCGCCCCAGGGTAGGAATCCAGCACCGAGGAGGGGGGGACCTCGCTACCCCCGCTGCTGGGGGTGAACTTCTCCCCCCCTCTGACCCGGTCCAGGGACGAGTAGTTGGAGTATGGCAGAAGGTCTGTGGAGTGAGCTGAATTTTTGAACATTTATTTTTTCGTGCTGATGAAATAGATTGAATTTAGAAGGCAGATGATGAAGGATAATGAAATTTTCCGATATTAGGAAAATTTTGTCGCTTGAATTGTCTATATATTCATTGATGTATTGAATCGAATCTGTTTAAATTTTTTTCAGTCCCTTGATGTCGCGAATCTTTAAGCAAAGCTCAAAGGTTGTGTTCTGTCTTCGGTTTATCGAGAACAGTTCCAGGAGGCGCTGGAGTTCTTGGTTGTTTCTTTTTATTTACGATTAGCCGATACTTTACGATCGCGCCTTTACGGTGTAGGTATCGGAAGTCTATGAGCTGCAGGCGTGCAAACCCGGACACAAAACGACGAGTTTGCTTCGTAACCTGCATGCACAGTTGAGCAGACTTGATGGGCTGTTGATTTATGTGACATGATGCATAAAAAAACCTTGTAATTTTTCAATGAATTACCTTTAGGGGATAAATTAATTGAGACGACGTGATGGGCCGTCGATTTAAGGTGACATCGTGTATAAAAAACCTTGTAATTTTTCAATGAATTACCTTTAGGGGATAAATTTATTGAGACGACGTGATGGGCTGTCGATTTATGTGACATTGTGTCTAAAAAAACCTTGTAATTTTTCAAAGAATTATCTTTTGGGGATAAATTAATTGAGACGACGTGATGGGCCGTTGATTAAAGTAATCGTGTATAAAAAACCTTGTAATTTTTCAATTAATTATACCTTTTGGGGATAAATTAATCGAGAAGACTAAGATTATTTTTCTAAACAACACACGAAGTTAATATGTACTCGCTTAAATTCCTCACCAGAATTATGAGGAATCACATCGGGATCTTTGAAGTCATCCAAGCCTTCCATGTCAGCCGGCGGCATGGATCCATCAATTCCAGTTTCATTGCACGCGGCTCCTCTGCTTCCACTTCTGCTGCCTCCTCTTCCTTCACTTCCACCACTTCCAGGCACTGCACCACTTCCACCTCCACCACCAGAAGCGTTTCCACCGCCGTTTCGGTTGATTCCATCGATGTGGTCTTTACTTGTAACGGGTAACAGAGCCGGGTGGTTCACCGGCCGGTTGTTGATGTCTTTTTCGGGCTCCATGGGCAGGGCGATGTTGAGGGCACGGTTGGGATCTCCCGGGCGCCGGACCTTCAGGACCAACATGATGATGATCACCGTCAGGATGATGGCTAGGAGGATGCCCACGAGGATGCCCAATACTGGCGTCATCTCGATGAACGAAGGAGGCCCTGCGAACACCAGGAACGATTCAACTCACTGAAGAAATGTAAGTATTGAATTGAATACGGGAATATGTATGCTTTATCTATAATATAGAATGAAATGTGAGTCGAGTTGTTTGGAAATTAAACACGGATTTTATTTAATTATCTTTTGAATATTTTTAAAATTAACATTGCGTGTGGGTTTGAGTTTTTTTGTGGTGCAAAATGTGGTGCAAAATTAGCGTTTGACTGGGTCGTTATTTAAGTGAAGAACAAAAGCTTTACCATTGTCATTAACTGGATTAGGATTATGAAAATACTGGAATTAGGGAAAACAGGATTCCAAAATTTCAAAGAAGTGCCATTTTTGAATATTTATATTCAGTAGGAAATTTCAAGCATGCTAGTATTTTAAAATCAAAATGCTATGTTATTGTTAGATTATTTGTTTATTATTGTTTTCGCAGCAGCTCACATGGAAAATAGATGTTGTTATCCTAACAACGACACGCTTATTAAAAAGGCTCATGAATCGTCACATAATTTATTTTCATGTTTTGAATTTTGTTTTAACTTTTAGTGACTAGAAGATGTCGTTAATTTTTGCCTACGGTGTTACGAATTCAAGACTTTTGTTCACAAATTTGATTATTTTGTATAAAATATATATAGAGAATTACTGGAGCATTTTTTGAGTAAAATGACTCGTAAATTCGCGAATAAAACTAAAAATCGAATATTAAACCCATGTTCATTTTGGCTACCAAAGAGTTGAAATATTTACGTCCCTACTCGACAGTAAAAGACATTTTACTAAATTATTCTACGAAGCTCATATTCCAGCGCATATTTAATTCATCATTTTAATTCAGATTGCAGTTACTCGTTTTCCTGTAGAACTGCGCAGCCTAGCGAACTGCTCCTCTTCAACACGTAGTCCCAAATGTCCCCGAATCTTCAAAGTTCTCCGAGCAGCCTATATCTTATATAAATGTCACCTGAATACTTTTATTCAGTAGGGAAATTACCTTGCCTTGGATTCCAAAGAGCGAGGTTTCCTTTTGAAGAAGCTTTTGCTTTTTTGAACTAATTCTGCGCGGCGCGAGCAGGACGAAACTTGTACGACTTGCCGGCGACTAAACATGGCGCGGCTTGTGATAAATTCAGCGCCAAGGTTTCACACCTTCACTATTAACCTACACTATTAATTAACTAATATCAATCACAGGAAATTAAAAAAAAGCGGATCCCATGTTATTAAACAATGCTATTCTCTAGTTTTTAAATAATACTTATTACTAGTTATTAGCTAATGCTATTCATTATTCAATAGTGATTAATTAATACTTATCACTATTTATTACCTGATTCTGATCACTAATTATTAGTTTATTTCGAGCGAGTGTTAAGTTTTCGAGCTATTTATTCTCAAACGAGGGTCGCGTTCATAAAATCAAGGTAAGATGGTTTGAATGATTTAAGAACGAGTATTTCATATGACGTTAAGTGTGAGTATTGAGTATTTCAAATGATTTAAGTATTTCAAATGACTCATTGCAGAACTTCAAATAAGTAATTAGAGTTATTTATCACAAACAACGTGAACATGTTTTTAACTGCATTATAAAACTTGTGGACTGAATCCCTGAGATTCTCCTTCCTTCCCTCAGTGTGAATACCGTTATGAGCGTACAGTGTGTCTGTGTATGAGCAAAATTAAAGCTGTCATTTCTTGCATAACTAAGACACATTTTTAGTCTTTTTAATATAAATCAAAGAAAGTACTTTTCATCTGTTTGACGATAAAAAATATTTCCTTGACAGCTTTTATAGTTGACATTCTAATTACTGGCCGTATATTACTGGGCGTCTGTTTGCAGAGGAATGAGGCAGCTTTGAAAAAGCGTAAAGCATGAGGCCAAGCTGTACGTAAGCCCTCCTTTCATTTCTTAGATTTAAGACATCCCTTTCATATTTCTTCAGAAAAAAGCTCCGTGTCTTAACGATTTACTTTGACTATATATTAAAAAAGGAGCAGATATTCACACATGCATTATTCTCTGAAAACAAGAGCTGTTTTAAAAATTTCCATGTTCCTTGGTAAGTTATGGAAAAATGCTATTAATGAGGCAGTTCTTAATGAGGTTCTGCAAGAGACGTTCCCTAACTGTAATTTAGACTTGTAAGCCAAGATAAAAATCGGTGCGAACTTTTTGCCTGTGAATATTGAATTTAGAATTTAATGTCTTACGTGGTGCAGGAAAAAATTTCATGAAGGCTATTTAATAATAATTTTTTGGGAAGTAATATTAATTTAAGACTCTAAAATTGCTAAGGAACTTGAACAGAAAACTTAGTTCTTAGTCGAAAACATGTTCGAAATTTCTTGCCTATACGATTTTATTCTTAAATATAACTTTTTCTGTTTCTGCTTATATTCCAAAATCGGACAGTTATGAATTAGACTGACTTTTTATGACTGCTATGAATAAATGCAAATTACACATTGCAATAATTTCTAGTCTGCCGAACTCTGATGCACAAACGCCAACGTGTAAAGATAAAGGCAAGGTCCACGGAATGCGAGCAATAACGTCTTACCGAAATAATGTAATTTGGTGCAAATATGCTGCGTCTAAGAATTCCCTCGTTCTCGCGCACTAATATGGACAGCGTTGAAACCTTTGATGCTGTTACCTGTTCTCTTCTCAGCCACCTTGAGCGTAAAGGTCTCGAGCTGCGCCACGGCACTGCGGCCTTTACTGTTGGCCGCGTAGGTGTGCATGGTGAAGGGCAGCCCTGGCTTCATTGCAGTCATGCGGAACACGGGCACCTTTGAAGACAAGTTCCTGTACAGCCGCCCGCTTTGGCTCTCGTACACCTAGACAGAGTAGAGGTACAGTTGCAGGGAGAAGGTAGAATAATAAATTTATTTGTTTGAGAAGATCCGCGTCGCGTACACCTAGACGGAGTAGACGTACAGTTGCAGGGAGAAGGTAGAGTAATAAATTTATTTGTTTGAGCAGATCCGCGTCGCGCACATCTAGGCGGGTAAGAGGTACAGTTACAGGAGTAGTTAGAACAGGTAGAATAATGTATACAATGGGTAAGAGGTACAGTTGAGGACGTATATAAATAATAAATTTAATTGTTTGAGCAGATCCGTGTCGTGTACGGTAAGGCGGGTAATTGGTACAGTTGAGGACGCAAATATAATATTAAATATAATTGTTCGAGGAGATCCGTGTCACGCACTAGACATAAGCGAAGTGCAGGTAAAGAGAGCATATAGACTGGAACATTTGATTGTAGGATAAATATTTTTTTGGGGGTATCTTGCCAGAGTATAAGTACAAGGGTAAAGATGGATTAATATAAATATACTGGTGGTAATGTAACAAATTCAGTTATATTACATGTGTCCTTAAAACCTTTAATTCATAATGCCGTGCTAACTGTCATTATTCCAGTGCTAGTGTTATAAAGATGAATAGGGAAAATAAAAACGTAAGTAACAACGTATGGAAAATAAATTTTGGAAATAAATGAATACGTCGGTATAAAGGCCAAAGTAAGTTGAAAATAAATACAACGAGCACGACATGTCCGTTAATCGTGCGTTCTATTCATACTTTTCAGGTGAGATATAAGCGTAGAACTTAAAAAGTCGGGTACTGGAGAGCACTGAAAAAACTAAAAACAAATTCCTGAATTTTCATAGTTGAGCGCAAGTTTGTTCACTCAATGACTGAAAGTCGTTACGAGAGCCTCCAGCGGCCGTTGTTATGAATTTTCACTGATGCATTAATTTTAAAGGCCGAGCTATGGAGTAGCTCAGGCTGCCTAAAATTACCCCAAACTGCAATTTTTCCGGTCAAAACACTGATGAATTTCCCCAAAGTTGTTGAGTATTTGGGATGGGCTGGGGCCCACAAGATTGTTTTGAACAATCGTTATGCAAATTCTTGCTGCAGTTTGTTCTTCAGAGCGCTTCTCTAAATTAGCTTCGGGCCAAACGTTGATTTACGGGGCGCAGGTTCTCCCTTCCTCTAGGCCTAAAATCTCAACCATGGAGTTTTTGCAGCGAAAAAGTTTCGCATATTCGTCATTTCTTTTGGAAGTTGCTGATAAATTTTTGTACAAAGTTAGTTCAAAATTATTATATTGAGGATTAAAATTTTGGACCCGAAAAATATGTTATTTTTGACCTTTCAACAAATGTATGGAACTTGAGATGTGTTTTAACTTCGCAATTTTAATATCTATTAAGCACCTCGTAAATGATACACAATGTGATTAATAGGTCGAACTAGTCAAGGGCACAAACGTATTTAGCATCTCTCACTCGTTAAGGTGAAAGTTTTTAATGTGTATACTGCATGAATATTGAAAAAATATTACAACGGGGAAGATATACATTATTGTATGTCATGGAAATCATTCTGTATCGAAATCAAAGTCAACGTAAATGAACATGGATTCTACAGCTGGATACTTGATAGACAAATTTACACGATGGAAGTTTCCTCTTACCAACTAAAATAACCTTCATCTCAATTAAAGTTACCCTCAACTTATTTGATGTTACCTTGATTTCAATTAAGTTCCCCCTCGTCTCAATTAAAGTTACTATCATCTCATCCAAAGTTACCCTATCTCAATTACAGTTACCCTATCTCAATTTGAGTTATCCTTATGTCAATTAACGTTACCCTCAATAAAAGGTTAGTGACTGCCACTAGGTAAGCTAAATAAAATAAAAATAGCAAAATGCAAACAAATCCGTGTCCTTTGAAGCAAAATTAAATGAAGAAGGATAAAAAAACACAATTCCCAGTATGTCAATAAATATTAAATAAAATAAACCAGTTAGTGCATTATTCCCTGAATAAAATTAGATTGGCTATTCAAATCCCTGAAATTTTTAACATTTAAACAGGGAGCGCAAAACGTCCCCTTGGTAACGGCACTCACCGCGGCCAACAGCGAACTGCTGTTAACTGTTGAAACCAAAATTAAATTTCGCCTTGATTGAATACAAACAATTACCAAGCCATCGTCGATAAGCGTCGCAATTGTCTAAATGCAGGTACACTTTGCCCCACTAACTCAATTGAATGCAAAAGCCCTCGGCGGCCGTCAGTTTAATGCTGCATCTAATAATGAATGAATAACGTTATTGTTAAATCTCGTTATTACGTTGAGTTTGGGACCCGTTTGTTTGCATGATGGTTCACGGGAACTATAAATGACCGTACATTCGAACGGCCAAATATGATTGTTGTTTGGCTGTCATTACTGAGATTGAGTACGGTATTTTTATTGATTTGTCATAAGGGATTAAATAGAAGTATCGCTCCGGCGACCAGGAAAGTAACGCAAATTTAGAAACATTTAGTTGAATCTCTTTAAAAGCATAAAATTGGGAAAATAATTCTGGAAAACTGTACAAGAAGTTTTATCATTGATACGGTATAAAAAAATTATAAAATTTATTAGATTAATCTTAGCCATAACCTTTGAAGTTACCTACATAAGCTAAACGTTGTGATAACATACTTATCATGTTGCTAATAGGCCAGTTTGAATGCCAATTCAATGAAATAAGCAACTAATTCACCAATATAAAAACAGCTGAAGTATAAAAATTAGCGTTGTTTAGAAGGTTGTTCGTGATAAGTTGCAGCTTAAAATAGGCTGCAGGTTAACCCTAACCTCATGTGGCGGGTTAACTCGACATCTTTTCACTGATAGAAGCTCATGTTTGATTCACATTCAAAGCTACAGACCTCCATGTGGAAGAGCTGCGGTAGACCGCCATCGAAGCCCATGCCGCAGACCACGTCGATGGTGTCGGTGGTTTGGTTGGCGATGGAGCAGTTGGTTGGTTGGTCGGGGGGACCTTCGGGCAGAGTATAGCACAAAATAGACTATAGTTGCATAAAAAATTAAATTTTTGTTGCTTTAATTTGAAAAAATTGTGAATATTGGTAGGAGTCGGACCGTGTTGTAGCTGCGCACTTTCCTTGTACCAAATAAAGTAAATAAATAAATGAAATCTTGATAACATCGCAGTGTGAAGGCTGTTTGTTTTTGTCAACGTTATTCGCAGGGTAACTGGATCTCGGGAAGAAAGCTCCATGACGTAATGTTGAGAAGAAACCAATTTTAATATCAGATATTTCCATACATTGCTGATGCGATATTAAGAAAATGCTTTGGTCGCAATAACAGGATAATGATCGAGAAAATTAAAAACAAACTCGATCTATCATAATATACGAATCATAAATGATTGAAATACCACCTTGATTTGAACCGTTCGCCGTTTAATTGCATATAAATAACCTGCAAGAGCACAAATATTGGACACATGATCTGAATATAGCGAGACCTTAATTCAGTCCAGTTGTGTCTGTGTGAATATAGCGAGACCTTAATTCAGTCCACAGTTGTGTATTTGGCAGAGCTGTATCCCCGCTACACGCCTCACTCCGGCGAGGCTCAAAGAACCAGACGCGCTGCATATTCATGGCCGCTCTGCCAGTGCGTCCAGTGCGCTTATCGCTTCAGTTCTGCATTTGTCTGTCCATCTCATTTGCCGAACTCAGTTCGGTGCCAGCTGCCAGATGCATGTTTATTCATTCACTTGCTTTGAAGATTTTCTTTTCAATTTTGATTTTTATATAGATCTATTTATATCAATTATATATATGAATCCTGTATATCAATTTCTACGACCTTTCATTTATCAACAACTCCGAAAGATATCCCAGATCTTTAATTTTGCCGGCGGTAGGGCAGTCGTTTAGAAGGTGAAATACTTCCTGTCAAATAAAAGCCAAGCTGGTCCATATAATTTGCTATTTGATTTTGTAGTTCTTTATATGATGCAGCCATACATACATGTAGTTGGATTATCCTTAGTCTCGGGTATATAGTTGTAACTGACATAGGATTAAGCATAATCCTACAATAGGCTTAATTTCATCAGGAAATATTATCAAATAATCAAAGCTGCAGCAACGTAAGTCATAAAATCACGTTTTACTGTCTTTAAAGCTTCGCTCGATCGCTACTATTGCCCCCAGATTAATAGCAGCTAGTAAAGCGTCCATGTAACGAAGCCGCTCAATCACTTTTAACTTCCAGCCGCACCAGCTAACCCGAGCTCTCACAATCCCCGGAAGAAAGGAAAAGCAATCCAAGGATTATTCGAGTACCCAAGTGTTTTGATTTTTACCTTTCAAAGACATGGATCTAAAAAGGCGCTTTGGGTGTCTGCAGCGATTTGTTGAGAACGTGCGACGTGGTCGTGAGATGATGGAGCAAAACTCCCGGTAGACCATTTGCTTCAAAGGGCGCTGCAGCGTCGAGTGCAGGATTGTCTCGCATAAAAGGCTCTTCGCAGCGCAGTCATAAAGCCGGCCGACTCTACGCAATGCAAGAGACGCGAAGTGCATTTCGAATGCAGTTGACACGCATCGGGCGCAGATGACTGCATGAAAGTCACTCATTGCGATCTCCTGGCTTTGTGAACTGAATGAGGGCGTATAGCTATAAGTGATGGGACTTGCCTTGCTATTAGGGATGGGATTTACATAGCTATAAGTGATGGGACTTGCATTTTAAGATTATGTAAAATGAAGCCTCACAATATAGAAATTACTATACTCGAGATTAATGAAAAGAGATGTTTAGTTTTCCAGGACCAACCTCATCTTCCAAAGATAATTCTTAATTATATTAATCTAAAAAATGGGAGCATAAGGAAGCATAAGGAAGCATGGGAAGATTGTGGTGACAATCTGCCGAAAATAAATCCCCAGCCCTCCCGCAAATGTTGTCTCTCACAGATGAAAAAGTTCGCATAATATAAGTTTCTATCTTTTTTTCGTAATAAACTCCACGTATTCTGCAGAGATGAAAATAATTTCGTTGGAAAGAGGTCAAAGCTGACATCCAGCGAAGACCCTAATACATCTCAATCTCGAAAAAGTCTCTTAGGCTCGAATGAAAAAAATTAACAATACCCTCCTGACAAGTCCACTCAACCCTTGATCGCAAGACAAATTCTTCACTTGCAGAGAAATCCAAGACATCCACGGGAGAAATGAGAACTATTTATAAAAAAGTCCATTTAGACTTGTCAATAACTCCATGCCACCTTCCGGAGAAGTCCAGCGTTTTCTTACAAAAAATTCCACTAACTTGGGAGCAGAAGCACAAATGGCCCAAATAGATTCCCTCAATCCGGCGCCTTGTCACTCTTATTCGTATGTCCATGCATGCAATGCCCATCACGATGCGCGCACTCCCGCAATGCAGCGGCCGCTTCAATTATGAATTCGAGTGGCTCGCTGAACTTCAAAGGAATTACGAGAAAACCCTCATCTGCCGTCAATTGGATCCGGAAGTCTATAAAGTGTTGGATTTTGGAAAGAGTTTGTCGCTTTTCGAGTCGATCGAGTCGCGCATTCCTCGCGACAACTCACTTGGAATAAGACATGAAGATGGGAGTACTGTCTCCGTCGGCTGGATTTTGTCATCTGTTGGATTACTGGACGTATATATATACGAGTTCCCGAGCGATCTGTTGGGTTACCGAGCGCACGAGTTACTGAGCGATCTGTTGGGTTACCAAGCGATCTGTTGGAGTTCCGAGAGTGTGAATTACCGAGCCTCTTACATGTTGAGCATGAGGTCCAAGCCTGTCATGCAACAACAACCGTAACAAAATTGGGGACCGCCTAAGGTACGGCCGAATATATGTTACACTCGGCGCAGAGTCATTCTGGTTCTGCTTTGCCATCCGATCCAAATCAGTTTCTGGTCAGAATCTTCTTTCCGACTTTATAGTCGCCTCAGAGTATGATAAGAGTAGGCCGAGCCGAGTCATACCGAGCTAACAAGCTGCCCAGAGGCTGCCATTCGAACCCTAAGTCGAAACGGACATAGAGATGCTGATTTACGTGCGGTCCGAGTCTTAGGCGGTTCCTAATTCAGGGTGGCCACCAACTCAAAATTTTGATAGGGAAAGACGTCAGCAAAAGTGCTTGTTGGCTTCGCACCAAGATTTGCGATGAAGAGACCGATGCTGAGCTCAAATTCTTAAATATAAATATATTATCAAGCGGGCGCTCTTCAAACATGACTATGGTTCATTTTATAAACATTAAAAAACTAATAGATTAAATTTTCTGGCATATGAATGTTAGGAACTTAATGATTCATGTCCATTCTTATAAGTTCCATCTAGGCAGCAGTTATTGTTACTGAGGTGAAAAGTAAGGCAGTGCGGATGTAAAAATGATGATACACTTGAATCAAATTACGTGACAGAAAAAATCGTTCATAATTTGTTCAGACCTGACAAGTATTTCAAGTTTATCATTACATTCATTGCACGAATGGAATGTAATCATCAAACAAGCCACAACAATAACGAAAAAATGAGATACACAGAATTAACAAACTACGAGCGCACGAATTCTTTCAAGAATTCAAAAAGTTTGACGATGAAAATAGATTTAGTTAATTCACTGAGTAATTTTTGGGGAGCAGATGAAAACAGAGGCGTCGTTAATTATTGGCTTATGAATAGAATTTCATTCAGTATGATCTTTTGTGAAGATCATAGAGAGATCCACGAAATCAACAATCGAAGTAATTGAAATTATGCCAAAAATTCGTAAGGAAATATCGACAATTCCTTTTTCACATTGAACAACCAATGACCTTTATTTTCCAATCGACTTTCTATTAATTGGAATAATGAAAAAATGCATATCCAATCATCTCTATAAAAGACCATTATGCAATCTATCACTGAAAACTGCACGTGAATTCCAATAGAGATCAAAGCTGGAAATAATACAGGGCTGTTCACCCGACGGCATTCGTACGACTCCTCAAAGACTGGCAGATAATTGAATCAACGCTGCCGGACTGCCACGACTTTGTCTTCCTCTCGAGTCCTCAATATTGGCTTTCGAGTTCCCTAATAACGGGAATAATGCGTATTAATTGTTGACCGCGGCGGCCGACTGCCGGAATGAAGCTTTGACGCCCAGTCAACATGGGTGTGTGGGAGCTGCTTGATGAGTGTGTGGGAGCTGCTTGATGGGTGTGTGGGAGCTGCTTGATGGGTGTGTGGGAGCTGCTTGATGGGTGTGTGGGAGCTGCTTGATGGGTGCGTGGGAGCTGCTTGATGGGTGTGTGGGAGCTGCTTGATGGGTGCGTGGTAACGCTGTTCAAAGACTAACGCCAGATCAAATTTTGTTTATAAACTCTAATAGCTGTTGTACTGAATTCAATTCTCACGTGAAGCAACAGGAGCGTCTCATTTCAAAGCTGTCTGTAACCAAAGTTATTGGCACGAATAAATCAAGCGAGACAACAACGACCGAGAAATAGATATATATTCAATTCGGTGAATTGGGAAACGAGCATTAATCAAGCATGAAAGATAAGTCCCCACCGAGAGATGAGGTATCTCTGATCAACTAACAACACATTTTTTTAATAATAAATTATATTACATATTATTGTCCCTGTGCCAAATAAATATTTATTCTAGAGGAGTTAAGAACCACCATCTTACAATAGAAAGTTCTATTACTTAGCTACTGGTGACCGAATCATAGGACGTAGGAATTATAACTGGGAATTATAGTACGTAGGAACGTAGGAATTATAACTAGGAATTATAGTACGTAGGAACGTAGGAATTATAACTAGACATTCGAGTTACAGTTCTTGGCAATGAATTCATAATGATTAAAATTACGGAGTTAACGAATTCCAATAACGAAGATCACCCTGAACTGTTTGATTAATAATTTTGCTAAAATACTGGTTATTTACAATATAACCTAATTCACGTGCCACCTTCAATTCTCCAATAATAAACGGTACTGAAATTAAAAGAAGCAAGGTACCCCATTGGAGGTAATTATTTAGTTAGTTATTAGTCGTTTTAATACCATCTTTTATTAGATCTCGAGGCAAACAAGAGGACTTGTATAGTCCATACATTTGATGTATTCAGGTGCGACAGGAATGCCTCTTGCCCCTCAGCAAGAAATTAACAAACTTAGAATTAATGAGAATGAAATAAAGTAACGATGTAATCCTTGCTAATTTCCGTGATTAAGCCGTTCGCTTCCCTGCAATTCGCGGAATTAATTACGCATTTCATTCCAACTTGCTGGGAATACTGATGACTGTTTTGCTCACATTCCTAATGCGAGCCGTAATGAGATTCTCGATGCACTTAATAAGGCCGTGAGCAAACTTTTTGTACCATCTCTGCTCTGGAGTGTTATTATTTTCGTCGCTATAAATTGCTTCTCTTTATTTCTTAATATACCAATTATTTACATACGCTAGGAGCCTTGGAAGTTTAAAAATACTCGAAAGCTGAAAAAATTGTAAAAATAATACCAGAAGACAAACGATAACCGATCGGAGGGATAATTTATTTTCGTCTTAATTCAAAAAAGCATAAAAAATATTTAGCGTACTGGTGTTGTTGCAAATGAGAAGCCTGTATGCATATAGAGCAATATCTGCAGTGACACTGTTTTTAGTTATTGAGATTTCTGAAAGCAAATGAACAATGCGTCGAAATCTTTCAACTGGATCAACTTGTTCAGCAAGTGGTGTACTGTTGTTCAACCCTTAGCAGCATTAATTGACTTTTTCTTTAACTTCACTTGGTTCTTCTTAGTTCAGGAGTAGAAGATAACTTGCAGACATATCACACACACAGACTTCTTGGGCACACACAGACTTCTCATGAGTCACTAACATCTATCGTGCATTATAGACACACTTATATAGATATGTACGAGTATATCCATATTTGGATCATAGGTTTATTTTATTATTTATTTTTTATTGGGCTACAAACTAAGAAATTTTTTTTATCGAATTATATTCACAATTATGGAATTTTCCCGAGAAATCCGGCATGTGATGCAAAGCTCATGACAAAATCTCAGTCCAAAATTAACGAATAAATTAAAGTCTATTGATTTTGTACGGAGAATTTGACTACTGCAAGCTGGTACGGAAGGACGTTCACGCTCACCAATGAATGTTGAAAAAACACAGGTGATGGATAATAGTTCAACACAGGTGATGGATAACAGTTCAACACAGGTGATGGATAATAGTTCAACACAGGTGATGAGAGCACAGTTCAACACAGGTGATGAGAGCACAGTTCAACACAGGTGGTGGCTCACAGTTCAACACAGGTGGTGAGAGCGCAGTTCAACACAGGTGATGAAAGCACAGTTCAACACAGGTGATGAAAGCACAGTTCAACACAGGTGATGGATAACAGTTCTACACAGGTGATGAGAGCACAGTTCAACACAGGTGGTGGCTCACAGTTCAACACAGATGATGAGAGCGCAGTTCAACACAGGTGATGAAAGCACAGTTCAACACAGGTGGTGGATCACAGTTCAACACAGGTGATGAGAGCACAGTTCAACACAGGTGATGAGAGCACAGTTCAACACAGGTGATGAGAGCACAGTTCAACACTGGTGATGAATCACAGTTCAACACAGGTGATGAATCACAGTTCAACACAGGTTAGTTAGGGTTTCACCGGTACGGAGGCGATCGAGAAGCCGCCATTTATTTTCCTAATTGGAATAATTGTACAATTATAAGCTGACACCAGAGCCCATTAATAATCCCGAGTGAGGCGTCGACAAGACACACGCGATAATAAGAACAACCAATAAAGATCTAATAGATCTTAATAAACGTGATCATCAATTAGATCTAGGTAAAGATAAAGATCAATTACATCTTAATAAAGATCAATTACATATTAATAAAGATCAAATAGATCTTAAAAAGATCAATTAGATCTTAATAAAGATAAATTAAATCCTAAAAAATATAACTCAGTACTCACTGTATTGAGTGACAAAGAGCGCATTTTCTCGACGACGAAAACGTGAAGTCATGGATGGACAAACAGACAGACGGACAGACAGTCGGACAGACATGACGAGCACAATAGCGCCTTTTTTCCAAAAATTAGAAAATGCTCTAAAAAGATCAAATAGATCTTAATAAAGATCAAGTAGATATTATAAAGATAAAGATCAAGGAGATCTTAATAAAGATAAAGATTAATTAGATATTAATATAGATAAAGACCAATTGGATCTTAATATAGTTAAAGACCAATTTGATTTTAATAAAGACAAAAATCAAGGAGAATCTTAACAAAGATAAAGACCAATTAGATCTTAATATAGATAATATAGATAAAGAACAATTGGATTTTAATAAAGATAAAGATCAAGTTTGTTATAATAAAGATAAAGACGACTAGACCTCTGACCTGCAGGGATGATGGAGAAGGCGCACGGCGTAGTCTGAGCGCCTATGGAGTTGTATGCCCAGCACAGCAGCGTGCCGTAGTCCAGGTGACTCTTGGGCGCGTAGCTCGCTACAGACGTGAAGTCCTGTCATAACAACACGGGTATCTTGACTTTTATCTAGATATTTATACAGATATTTATCTAGAGGTTTATTTAGATATTTACCTAGAAATATATCTTGAAATTTATCTAGATATTTATACAGATATTTATTAGTATAGGTTGGCAGAATTTCTTCTTTCAAGCAGGTTTCATTGAAGATCAGATCAATACAATATTGTTCGATATATTGAAAAAACTAATAAGAAAATTGCGAATAAAACAAATTCTCTGGTCTTCAATGAAACCTGCTTGAAAGAACAGATATTTATCTAGGTGTTTATTTAGAAATTTACCTAGAAATATATCTTGACGTTTATCTAGATATTTATACAGATGTTTATCTAGAGGTTTATCTAGATATTTATTTAGGTGTTTATCTAGATATTTTAAAAAATATTATCTAGATATTTATCTTGACATTTATTTAAATATTGATCTTGACATTTATCAATTTATCTAGAAATTTATCCGTACATTTGTCATGAAATTTAATGGGACCCATACCGTATCTAGATATTTATCTCTAGAGTCTAGACAATAAACTGGCAGACAATAAACAAGATAAACTAAGTCCAATAACATAAAAAAACGTTTAAGTTAATGATAACTATCATAACAACTAACTTTAATGATCAATTATTAGATGCCCGATGTTGAGAAATTAACTGGCAAATACAACAATGAAGTTTAACATTGTTATTATTCTAAATCCTCATGCGGTCGCCGTTTCTACCAGACATATTTTTCATTGTAAACTCTCATAATGAAACTAAAGACAAAATTTAATTGCATGTTTAGAAAGCCTGTGGTATAAGTTGCCCATTAGATCAGCAGTCAGCAGAGCGGAAAATTCTCTAAAAACTAATATAAAAGGAAATAATTAACTGTCTGTCCAACAACAATAGATGTAAAAAATTAATGGAACTAAAACCTGCAATTAATATGTGTTCAAAACAAACTTTTCAAACATTCGTACGGCAGAATGTTAATTATTCTTCCTAATTTTCTACGAAAGCAATCACGAGCGGGAAATTAAGTTCTAAAAGCTTCCCATTCCTCTCTACTTAAACCTCACCAGAATATATTTCTGAACTAAAAAAACGATAAGCCAAACGAAAGCAAATAGTTGCAAATGGAATCTACCGAAGAAGCTCCAGCGCTAGCCGACAGAATTCGTCGAGCCGCTGGCTTGTTGTGCTTTGATCAGATTGCAAAAGAGCTCCTCAACTTGATTAGTGATTAGAGATCGGCCGACCAGGCTACTGTAACTCGACGAGAAGGATTCGTCAAGTGGCACAAGAAATCTGACTCGAAGATTGCCTGCAAATGAAGCCCGAGCTCCGGTCTATTGAGCGGCTCCCTTGAGTCGGAGATCGCATCTTCTCATAACAAAGGAGTTGAGAGAAGAGCAAAAATCGAGGCGCTGCCCCCAGTGAGTATCAGACAGTCAGGTTAACGCTACTCCAATTCTTCTAGTGGACTTAATAAACGAAGAAATTATGCGTTCACAATAGAGGCTTTTCAGGGACTAAGTTATTTCGTGGATGTTTTTAAAGTAGGGAAGCTCACGTCCATTTGGAAACCCCCCAAAAAAAACTGAGCTAAAAAGTTGAAGCTCGTGCTCTAATTCCGTTCTAATTCCTAGGCCAAATGAAGTAAATTCGTTTTATTTAGTTTCAACCAGGCTCGGCAAGCTAAGTCATTAGGCTCGCAAGAAAGTTCGATTTTTTAGTGAGCAATTTTCCCTGCTTACTTGATGCCTGCAAGTTATTAAATTTACTAATGTATCGCGTCGCATAACTAAAGATGTTAGTTATAACTTTCTTAAGTACAGTTCAGGTTTTTCTTCATTTCCTTCTTATTTTCTTGACTTTCTTTTAAATTAAATCGATTATCACGATTTTTTTTAATTCGAAACTCATTATCAGTTACCGTGAAAATATTTAAAGCTTCCAGCCGATTTTGAGCTTACCCGTTCCCATGAGATCATTCGTGAGCAAATGACCGCCTTGTGAGGCTAATTTACATCTCATAAACCGATTCTCAGCCTGCAAGGCCAATTTCTATCCTTTAAGGCCAATAATCCCTTGCCAATACGGCCGATCCCCCAACCCAGTCCCCCCTCTAAATGAGATGACCCGAAGGCATCCACTAAGCCCACTCCTGCTCACCAGATAGCCGTAAAAACTCAACTTTTCTCCCATAACTCATTGAGTAATTTTTAAACTTTACCGTAGTCTGAGGGTTGATTTTCCCAAGATCAGTTCAAAGAACATTTAGGAGGATTCTGTTACTGGTTTTCATCCACCATTAACTATGAGAGATTCATTAGAAAACATATATGGAGTGGATGCATACAATTGAACAAATCAAGATTATTCTGCTGGTATATTTCGCAAAAAATATTTTGCAAAATATTTGGTATCAGAGCATCAGTTTAACTGAAAAGTAGATATCAGACTCTGCATACATTGCAAATTAACCTTCATGTATGCACGGTTCTTGGCAATCCAGATTCTTCAAAGAAGCTAATTCATGGAGGCGAAAGTGCCTCAGGAATCTCGCCCCACGGCAGAGTTGAGGCAATTCTGCGCAGCATTTGCAATCTTTTCGACGCAAAGATATTCGTTCAGATCCGAATAATGTGAACCTGTTTTGATGAGTGCAAGTTTGGATGCGAAACCATGCAGGGAAAGTTTTAAGCAGCAGTCGGCACAGGGATACGAGGAAAAGATTAAGGATAAACGTAGTGAAGATCACTTCTGAAGCGGATTTAACTTCCAATAAATATTTTATGACATGAAACACGATACAGTAATCAAGTGAATGAATGAATAAACAAATATCGAGGTAAATTCAATGATTTTTATTCCATACCTCACGGAAATAGTTGAAAAAGTTTTACATGTGAACAAAATTTTTGATCAAGATGGAAACGTTGAATTTGAGTCATCAAGAAGAAAAAAGATCTTGATCCTAAACAGCATAAAAAAATCTTGATGTCAAAAATGTTTAAAATTTTAATTTAGCTTGCCTGTGGGGGCGAAATATATGTCTTGCAAAGTCAAATTTATTCAGTCGGGGCGTACATATTTCAGCGAACTTTAAATATAAAAGTTCGCTGAATACTTAGCGATAAAAAGTTTCAAAAGTGGAACACGACGGTTAAGTGTGATCGTTGAACTTACGCTCTAATTATGTTTGGTTTAAATAAATAACTATTTGGAAATAGTTCGAGTCAATGTACGGAAATAAGTATGCACACAGGGTGATTCACGAAAACTTCCAGTTCTGTATTTAGTGCCAAGCAGCCAGATGTTGTAGGAAAAATATTTCATATGAAAGGCCAGGTCATGAAGTTTTGTGTTCTATCTAGTCAGTTGCCACTATTTGTTGGACAAGTGAGCAGCGTGCGTTTGCTGTCGAGGCGTACTTTTCTAATGACGGTTCCATTATCGCCACCCAACGGGCATTCCATACTCGGCTCTGTATTCATCCTTAAACGTGCAGTAACGGTGACTGCAGCTCGGTACACGCAAATGATTGACGCTTTTTTTGCCAAAACTGGCTGAAATTAATGTCAGGGATGTCTAGTTCAAACAGAATGGAGTCACGGCCTACACAGCGCGATGTTCAATGGAACTTCTGAGCCGTCATCTGTCCTATGTCATCTTTAAAACTAAATGTTCAAAATTCAAGTAATGTCTTTTTCAATAAAATATATATTGTGATGATATCTTTACTAGTTCTTTTTTTTACTGAGCTTTCAAATCCGTAAGTTTCTGGGAATCACCCTGTATTAATAACCGTATCTTGAACAAAGCAACAATTAGTGGTTTATGGCGTTAATTTTAATCTCCATAAAAAATAATTATTTTCAATAATTGTTATTTCAGGTACAAAACAAAATAAAATTGCAAGACTTAATGTTAATTTTCTAATTACGATATTTGCATATCTCTGATATAACTGCCAGATTTATTTACATAGCTTTCTCTCTTGACTCTTTCAGATCCCTTTTACTGCCAGACCATTCTTGCTGAGGCCTGAGGGCAAAAAACGCTTCCTAAGACAGTACAATTAGATTTACGTGTGTAGTCAGCAAATGGCCTTGCAAGGCTCAAAACTAATCAAATTTGGCTAAATCCGGCAGCAGCGTCCGCCTTTGCCACATTTCATGTTGGTGCCATCAAAGGAAGACTTCATTAAGGTAAGTAGCAACGTTGCTGCGTTAAAAAACCTTACGATAACTGGAATGCATCCATCGCCTCTCTTCACTTCGGTGTCTTGCTTTTGGCTTCACTGAATATTATGATATATCATGCTTTTGGATTAATATATCATGCACGTAGATTTGTAGCTTCTATTGACATATAAGGACATAAGCGAATTGACATAAACATACACTGATGTTCATCCATTTACTTGGTTCCAGTTACATAATCATTGCAATTCCATTCCATTGCTTCCATTGACGTAGCCGATGACATGATGATGGTAGGTTTACAGGTTCAAGTTTGCAGCGTACGATGTTTTACATCCTTGTCAATTTTTTAAAACAATTAAACTAAATGGCTTTCACGCAGGTAAAAAAATTTATCCTCTAATCAAAATAATTTTGTTGTCAAAAGTCAAAACCAGGAAATAGCTGTTGATGCATTCGTCTCTATTAAAAAAATAAGATATGCGTCCATGTTTTCCGATAAAAAATGTTTAAAAATTAATTTTAATGGATTAGAACAATTAATTAGTTGCTTGATCGAGTGAAATTAATGAGCTTTGAATAATTCAGGAATTCCAAATGTTATTGCTTGTTTTAAGCCGCGATCTCGCATTAGAAGACACAAAATAAATACACTAATCAAGTGGCAGCTCTCGATCGCTAAAAATTTCGCAAATTAAAGTCTGGAATTAGAAATCAATTAATTTTATAGTTAGAAATCATATATCTCATGCAATTGTGACGTAAAAAATATAATGTC